GGGGGGGGGGGTGTTGCTTGTTTTGCTTTTTTTCCCTCAAACAGGGTTTAGATGCATCCCAAAGGCTTATGATAAGAAACTTAACTGGCTACCTCCCAGGGTAGTTCTTTAATAATTAGAGGGGTGGTTGTTAAAGACCTGAAAATGTTTTAATTAAACTGTGAATTTTAAAGGGTTTTTGGTTTGTGTTTTTTTATCAGCCACAGCAATTCTTGCCTTCTCTGGTTTTGCTTGAAAATCCATTGGAGGCTTTACAGCTCTCTAAGGTCCCAATTCAGGATGGCCCTTAAGCTTAGCTCTAAGGTGCTGAATGTGCTGTTGAAGCTGAGAGGTTGAATATAAGGATGACTTCCTTTACCCAGACTATTAACTAGGTGAAATAGGTGTTAGCAAATCTTGTCTGCAAGCTGACTGCACCAGGGAGTGCCAGGCTGAAACACATGGCATTGTTTCACATCCGCTACCCACTGAACCAAGAGTAGATGAGCTACTTTTGTGCAATGCTGTGCATGAGACAAAAGTGATTAGAATAACCCAGGTTCAAAGAAATATACCACTCCTTTGGTTTCAAAGTCTAACAAAGGCCATTCCCCCCCATCAGTGACTCAACTTTCACTTTCTTAACTCCTGTCTTCATATGGGAGCAAATCTAGGAGGATTTGGATAGACTGGGGCAGTGGGTGGATCAGACTGGGATGCAGTTTAACAAGGATTAGTGCAAGGTGCTGCACCTGGGAAGAAAGACTCTCCAACATACCTATAGACTGGGAAATGGCAGTGGAAAGGGATCTGGGAGTCATAGTTGACGCAAAAATGAACACGTGTCACCAATGTGACAAGGTAATAAGTAAGGCTAACCGCACTCTTTCTTGTATTAGTAGGTGCATCACGAGCAGGTCTAGGGAGGTGATACTTCCCCTCTATGCAGCTCTGGTCAGGCTGCAGCTGGAGTACTGCATCCAGTTTTGGGCGCTGCACTTCAAGAGGGATGTGGATAACCTTCAGATGGATCAGAGAAGGGCTACTCGTATGGTTGAGGGCCTGTGGGTAAGATCCTATGAAGACAGACTGAGGGACCTGAATCTCTTCAGCCTCCACAAGAGGAGGCTGAGAGGTGATCTTGTGACTGTCTACAAACTCGTCATGGGGAGTCAGCAGGGAATAGGGGATACTCTGTTTACAAGGGCACCCCTCGGGGTTACTAGAAATAATGGCCACAAACTAAAAGAGAGTAGATTTAGATTGGATATCAGGAAGAAATTCTTTACGGTGAGGGTTGCCAAAATCTGGAATGGGCTTCCAAGGCAGGTGGTGCTTTCCCCTACCTTGGAGGTGTTCAAGAAAAGATCAGACAGGCACCGAGCTGGGGTTATTTAACCCCGGCACTTGTTCCTGCCTAGAGCAGGGGCTCGGACTCGATGATCTACTAGGTCCCTTCTGACCCTAGAAATCTATGAAATCTATCTATGATCAGATGTTCCAAGGTGTACATTTCTGACATAAAAACAAGCAGGAAAAGTAAATCCAAAGCAATGTCCTTTCACAGCTTTCCCCAAAGGAGCACAAGGACATCATCTTAGATTGTAACCTCTCTGGGGCAAGCACTATCCTTTTGTTGTGTGTGTACAACACCTAGCATAATAGGGTTTTAGTCCAGGGCTGCTCCAGATCCAGCCTGCACGGCTCCCTGTGGGTCTGGGAAGTTGGTGGCAGGGGGGCAGTGATACTCTGCTGCCAAATCTCTGAATGCTGGATCTGGTGCCCAAACCCAGAGTGCAGGGCTTGGCAGTGTGGGAGCCCAGGAAGGTGCAGTGCCAGACCCCGGGACCCAATCCAGCACATAGGCAGTGGAAGGGGATGGTTCTGGGCTCTTAGGGCTCAATCCTGGTGCTCAAGGGGCAAGAGGTGACAGTGCCAGGCTGCTGGGACCCAATCCTGGCCCTCAGGAGCAGTGTCAGGCCCCCCAGGGCCCAATCCTGGCACACAAGGGGCAGGGGGAGGGTAGTGCTGGGTCATTGGGACACAATCCCAGCATGCAGGGGATATGAAGGGGCAGCACGAGGCGTGGGGCCTGATCCAGCCCACAGACAAGCCCTGCACCACTCAGCTGGCCTGCTGGGCCAAAAGGTTGAGCACCACTATTGTAGTCCACAGTGTAAATAATCTGTAACAACTATATTTCTTACTCCTTTGCAAGGCACTGTTCACATAACCACCAGCACTTTTCTTAGAGCGTTTAAACACCTGTATAAGGATGACTCAGGCTTCCACTCAGGCTTCCGGCAGTGGAAATATTTAGACTAAAGACTAAATACAGGCATGCATTGAGTCTGATTTTTCAGGCAGCCCTTTGTAGGTATTGCACGTGTGCGGCTCCTCTGACAATCAGGCCATTTCATTTCAAGCCCATTTCCTGAAAAAGCAGCTCCTGCCCTTTCTGCACGCCGGTCACAGTCAGAGTTTTGATGGAGCCAGATGTACCCTACCCTTGGGAGAGATGCTACCACTAGCCCCCCAGATAGTGCAAGAAGCTGAGTTCTTTGTGCTTGATGTGTTAGAAAAGTCAGTAAAAACTGTGGGAAAATACATAACCCAGAACTCAAGCCTTAGCAGGTAAGTGAAGGAGAAACTGCTTTCCAGAGAGGTTATTTTACTGGGTAATCTATGTGAACTGTGACTGATGTGATTTAATGCAAGACCTTGCCCAAGTCCCTTAAACTCTCTAGGCCAGTGGTTTTCAACCTGTTGTCCATGGACCCCTGGGGGTCCACAGACTATGTCTAAGAGGGGTCAGCAAAAGATGACTATGATCAATCAAAAGCAGGTGAATAGTCACACTTACAATTCCAAGGAGTCTGCACCTCCATTCAAATTTTTTTAGGGGTCCACAAATGAAAAAATGTTGAAAACCACTGCTCTTGGAAGACTTCCCTGTCACCTAGTGGAAAACCAAAGTGCAGCCTGTGACCAGCTCAGAGTTACCTGACTACTGTATTGTGTGGGAGCATTTCTGTTGCCCCCTCTTGGTGTGTTAGTGCCCCCCAGAGGGAAGAGCTTCATCACTTGAAGACATGCAGATATCTCACTGTAGCAATAATGGGCACATATGCACACAGACCAAGTAGCAGAATTGTTCCCATGTATTAGGTGCTCAGAATCAGTCTCAAGTGGCATTTTGGTCGTCCACTAGATGAAATCAAATTCTATCCTTTGCATCTCAGTCAGTCTGTCTGTAAAATGGGGGTGGTAATGCCTCTAAGCTCATATGGGCATTTGAAGCGTTAAGTCATTAACATGTGCAGAGTGCTGTGGGACTGTTGCTTGGAAGGTGCTATAGACATGCAAAGTATCATTAGCATTAATATTTTATTACCTCTCTTAAAAAACAGCTTTGATCTTGTCACTATCGGCGGGATCTCCATTATCCTCCACTTTGAGCGGGCTCCTTTCATCACTCAAGAACACACACTGTGGCTGCCTTGGGATCGCTTTTTTGTAATGGAAACCATTGTCATGAGGCACGAAGAGAATGAGATTCCAAGCTGTGATCTCAGCAACTTCGCCCGCCCCAACCCCATTGTCTCCCCATCCCCGCTGACAGCATTTGCAAGCTCCTGTTCAGAGAAAGGCCCCATTGTTCCTGAAATCCAGGTAGGCATCTTCTGGCTGAAGAAAAACTCTCACCCCTTTCACTTCACTTGCCTGCCTTGAGCCAGGCAAACATAGCTAAATCCATCCTGGTGTGCACATCATATTTCACTCCTGTACTTGTTAAAACAAAGGTGTCCCCATTTTTGTGACACTGATGTGGGCTGTGTCGGCAATTTGCCAGGAAACCAGAGGCTTTGCCTGATTTACATATTCATTTACATACTTTTAAAAGTCACAAATAGGCACTCAGCCATAATGCTTTTTTTCTTTTTTTTTTTTTGCTTTTTTTTTTAACCCCTCCTTGATAGGAAGTGCTTGC